GCATTAAGCCTTGATAACCCAGTCTAACGGGTTCGGACTAGTGGTTTCGCAACCTGACTTTCACGTGTAGACACTAGCATCTCATTAATTTGATCAGGGTTACTTACGGATTAACGCAATATCGGTCATCCCTTTTTTCTTTTTTCCTTTGGTCATTAAGTCTTGATAATCCTGGGCTGATGTTAGGCTTCTTTCTAAATACTTGACCTGTTTTGCTTACATACGTTAGCATACATACGCACAGTCATACTGGAGTATACATGAATTAACAAAACATTTCTGAATCCATCTATATCCTAAATTTTGCTCGAAATGGGTATATATATCATATATTTTAAGAAGCCGGTTAATTTTCTTGACTTAGTGTGAACTTTAGGCTTTTACAAGAATGAGTCTAGCCCTGAGGATGTTCGTCTCATGACAAACGAAAGCTCAGCCAGTCTTCGCCTAAACGGCTGGAGGATATCTCGTGGACTGCCTCAACCTGAACGTCGTATTAAGGCAAAACGACGGCAGTACAACGCGAATCAGCCGACGTCTTCTGGTGAGATTTACTTACCAATCTCTTTAACATGTACTTCATGTGAAATGAAAGTCTTCCCATCAATCGGAAGATAAAACAGCATGCAAATGTCTGTCCAAAAAAAACAGAATTAGTCATTCTCCCATATTTATTAATTTTGCGTGAGACAAAGGTCATGTGTATGAAAAGAATCACGCGTACTTATGAACTGAATGGAGATGACTCGCAGAAGCTTTGTAATGGTTTTCCTTACAAAATGCATTTCTGCCCCACTATCCTTTCGTCTTTAACCTTACTATACCCAGAAGCTCTGATCTTTTATAAATAAGTTAGAGAGGGCTCTATAAGAAAAGCTAGCTTAAATTTTTAATAGGTCGGCATATTCGGCTTCGAAGAATGTCAGAGACATCGTCACCAGAACATCCCCCTCTACATTGCGAACATACATAATACAATAAGCATAACTGTACCAGAAAATGTGGGTGTAGGTGTGCTTGTATGCCATTAACGGTAGTCGCATGATTCCGCGTAGTCTCATAGCTTCTTCCTATGCAGCATTTAAAGAAATAGCTATCAAACACAGGATGAAGTTGAGTAAGGTCAAATCTGCTCCTTGTGGGTGTATAAATTTTTAAAGGTCTTATATCATAGAAAATCGAATTAACCTCTTGTGCATACCCACAGATGACTGCTTGAAGTTTGACGTGGCTGAATTGAATTGTTATAATTATCTCTCAAAACTTGGCCGATTCATCCGCTTTACTCTAAAGAGCATCGGAATAAATGAAGTAAGTTAACAAATAAAGTTCATCTTTTATTCTAATATGGAGGCTTTTTCATATACTTTTTATTTTGAGTACTAGAGACAAAAGCAAAAACAGCATTTGGTTGCACTGTTTAAAAGATTATTTCATCACTATCTTGTGATTTACCCTGAAAAACGCGTTTTTAGCGTCGATTCCTCCTTGAATTTTCGTGGACATCATATTTATGTTCATAGTATGTTAGTAAGTAAATATATGGTCATGAGTATCAAAGATTTCCACCTTCTACGCGCCTTCAAGACTCTAAGAAGTTTTCTCGGCATGGTAACATTTTACCGACGCTTCATTCCCAACCGTGCAAACATGTTGAATCCTCTAGATGAGTATCTAACACCCCAAAATAACATCTCCCTATCTGAAGCTGCGCAGCGTATTTTCGAACGCATTAACTAAGCTCTCGCCGAAGTGACCATGTTAAAAAATCCAGACTCAGATGCGGAGCTTACTTTGGTGACCGATGCCTCCAAACGGACTGTAAGTGGTGCATTGTCAGCTTGTTGATGAAGTACCTCAGCCTCTCGCATTCTACTTTCGGAAACTCACGTCAACATAGCAGATATTTATTACCTTTAACCGTATTCATTAGGGAAATATTTCGTACATATGCTAATTGGAAGACAACTTCCCATTTTAACTGATCACAAACCTTTTGTGGACCCTTTGAGAGCGTTTCGGACAAGTACTCTCTGCGCAAATTCCGCCAAATGGATAACATCTCACAATTTTCCAGCAATGTGAGCTAAGCAAAAGGAGCAGACAACATCGTCGCAGACACCCTTTCCCGTATTGGCATGGTTTCTGCTGCCATAAATTGATTACCAAGCCATGGCAGAAGCACAGGAACGTAAACACAGGCAAATCTCAGCACGCCAATGGTTCAAACTGACAATAATCTAGGTAGAGATGTCACAAGGTGCCAAGATCTGGAGTGATTTGTCAACTTGAAAACATCGTCCTTTAACCCCTTCCACCATGCGGAAATTGGTCTTCTAAGTTGTTCATGATTTGGTGCATCCAGGTCTAAGTGTGTCCAGGAAACTCATTACATGCCGTATTGTCTGGCCAGGAATACAATGAGACATCGACAGGAGGACTAAAGCCTGTCTAGCTTGTCTTATCGGCAGTTTCGAACAATCACATCCACATGGACATTGTGGGTCCCATTCCGCCTTCTAAGGAAAACCGCTATCTCCTTACTATTATGGACCGCTTCACACGATGGCAAGAAGCCATTCCAATGCCGGGCATACAGGCAGAGGCAGTTGCGAAAACATTTGCCACTCACTGGGTTTTAGCGTTTGGCACACAGACAACTATCGCAACCGACAGAGGCAGGCAGTTTGAATCGGATCTTTTCGCCCAGCCATCCACGTTATCAGGAACGAAAAGAATTCACAAGTGCGCCTACTACCTGCAAGCCAACGGTTTGGTAGGACGCTTCCACTGTCAGCTAAAAGCCTGTCTCTGGTGCCAAAGGAACCCGAACAAGTATACAGACAATTTTCCTTTAGTACAGTTGAACTTTCGGACAATGATCAAAGTGGAAACCGACTGCAGACCAGCTGAAATAGTTTGATAATGTTAGTTACGATTGTCCAATAATTTCGTTGCACCTACTAACATTTGAGTACTATCTGCCGAGTAAGTTAGAAATTTTACTTATAGGATGTAGAAACTACACAGCATACTTTTCAGGCTAACTACATGCAAGTCGGAAGTGCCAAGCGGCATATAACCACTATCCGCACCATGCAGCGGCCTTTTATGCGTCATCTCCAGAGACGACAAGCACTTTGATTTATTAATAAAAGGCCACCGTGAAGTGGTAAGTACAGACTAACTCAAGCATGCAAATATTGACGAGTCTGAAGACATCCCAATAGCAAAGGGCACACCGAGAAAACCAATATTGAGAAGCAAAAAAGCACGCTGTATATGCAACTCAGAAAAAGGGTAAATTTCACATCGGAATCCCGATCTAAGTCTCATTTAACTACTTTTTTTTATTTCGAGTCTATCCCGTTCAGGTTAGCCTTGGGGGAAGTATTGTAATGAATTTCTCTATAGGTTTGGCTACATCTCACGACTATGTTTCGACTCATGCAACACCAAGCAGATCATGACTCATCGGCGCTGTGTCTCACGGGGATTAGGCGAACGTAGTCACCGTATAGAGCCTCTTCGTAGAACCAATTCGAACGTGGCCTTAAAAGTACACAAAAATGTACTGGCCTCATCGCTCTTCTGATGCCATTGCTGTTTCGGTGACCAAACACTACATTCTGTCATCATCTGTGTTGTTCCCACATCGAGATGCTCGTCTGTAAATTTTTTTCTGATATGCAATGTATCCTATGGCTCGTTTTCTTGTTTCTTTATACAAGGCAGTGGTAATCTGTACGGTGGCGCAAGCAGACAACTTATTTATGGTGAATATTTTAGATTCACTAAAAAGTAAATTACAGAATCTCGAATACCGTCAAAAGTTCTTATGAATTTTCTTAAAGGATCCAAACCATTGGGTTGGTGGGGACGGATCTCTTGGTAAGTTTTAAAGTACAATCCATGTACATAAATATCTTAGGCAAAAAGGCGGTAAGCTCCTTCCTGGAAATATTGGAGCGAGCAGAGGATATTTTGGAGGCAGAACGGATACGGAAGGAGTCGTCAATACGATTTATCAACTTGACTTTAAGGATCACCACTTTTACATTTAACGGCAGTACATATGACCAAATATTTAGATTACCGATGGGATTTCCACTTCAACCTCTTTTGTCAAATGTTTTTATGGATAGATTGGAGAAGGAATCCGAGAAGTCACCATTGCAACCAAGAGTGCTCATGCGATATTTGAATGACTACTTTGCAATTTGATCGCATGGTGAGAAAAATTTGAATGAGTCCCTCAATTTTACAGGCCAACATTATGGAAGAATTAAATTCACAATGGAGGTGAGGTCAATAAACGACTACTCTTCCTGGATGTTGTGGTCATTCGCTCCAACGGAATACTTAAGAGGAGACTATTCACAAAGAAATCGCATGCGAGAATAAGCCTCAATTTCAAGTCTCATCACAACTACAGACTGAAGATCGAAATAATGAAGGGTATGATCATCAGATATCTGAAACTAACGGACACTGAGTTCTGGAACAAGGAGTTGGACAGATTGAATCGGATTTGCTTTAATAACGGGTATCGAAGAGAATTTATAGAAATAAGGTAGGTGTCATAAAGAAAAGATTTTAACTCTGATTTTATGAAAATAAGATCAGAAATCAGGAGGACGACTGAACGTGGATATGCCTGCCCTAATGTGAACCGAACCAAAATTGCGATAGTTACTAAGAAAATGGAATATAAAATTGATACTAAAAGAAAGGAACACTTTTCAGCAGTTTGCATACGCAGAATGAGGAGATTAATAAACTGGATTGTTTAAGAGGTTAGCCGATCAAATATGGCAAAGGTGAGCAGAAGTATATCAGCCTACCAGAAAGAAAGCTTAGTATACGAATTAAGCAACATCAAGACTCTGTTAAAACATGTATACGGAGAGATCAGAAATAACGAAAGACATTACACGAAAGAAAACACGAAATCGAATGGAAATCGACTGAAAGGCTGGCTGTATGTGGTAAAAATAGAAGAAGGCACAAGATACGAGAAGACATCGAGATCCTGGCTGAAATAAATCTAATGAACAGGCGACTTGAAGAAGTCAGGATCAGCGAAAACTTTGCATACTGTCTGAGAAAACTCGTAGAAGACCAAGAAACAGCAATATCAGCAAAAAGAATACGGCTGGGCAAAGGTAATATTTTTAATTTTAATAAAAGAAATCGGAATGTAACCATAATAGAACAATCGGAAACCAAGAGGAGAACTCTACAGTGAGTCTAATCAAAACAAGTATAACGACAACATTTGTGGACTGTCACACAAGAGACTAGAGCATAGGAAGTCATAAATTTGGTAATATGGATAGTAGCACGCTAGATGCGGCGGAGACTAGAGCTAATTGGATAACATTAGGTGTATTTGATCATGATCCACGAAGCAAAGGCTTAATCATGATAATTACTCGGGGTCTTTAGCCTCAAGTTAGTCTCCCATGTAGCTTTGGAATCCTTGATTTGTATGGACCTACTAAGCGATGCTGGACTATGCGTGCCGGCTTAAGACAAGGTGCCAAATAGCGCTTTGAGTGGTTCAGATAGTATGGCAGGCGTCGAGTGAAATATCTGAACCAGGAAGGTAAGAGGTGGATCCTATAAGGCAAACAGGAGGCCCTAATAAAACCTATGGGAAGAGGATTACGGGGTGAGAGGGTGAGAAAACCAGCATTGGGTTTGGAAAGTTCTCATGAAATCCGCTACAAAAACGGACACACCATACCACATTTAACTAAGAAATTGTGATAGTGAATGACTGATACAAGAATATCTGATTGGTGAATAGCCAAGGATAGAAGGAGAGATACCACAATTGTTTATCAGACAATTTCTCAAAGGATCGGCTTTAATTGTCTCTTTGACGAGTTGTAGTGTGTTGCTGACTGACAATGATCACTGACCTGAGATTCTGGAAAAAAATATATTTACCTGTCATTATAAAATTTCAGAAAGTTAAACTAATCCTCTTTTGATTAGGAGAAGAGACTTGACAGTCAGTAATAGGAGGGCAAGATAAAGACAATAATGTATCGGTTTAAGTAAGAGGGGAACCATAATGAGTTTCACGAGAGGGATCCTGATGCCAATTATGGATGTACCCAACTAACTGTTCGCTGCTAAATATATATATATATATATAAGCAATTGAAGAGAAAATATTGTATTAATTTATTCATTTGACTTTTCAAAGAGTGGCTACTGGAGGTTTAATATGCCTATATAACAAAATAACTCTATGAGAAACCCAGAGGCTACATAATCTTGGACTTAACATCT